CAGAGTGAAATCGCTGATAACTATACCCTGTTCCAGAGTAAAATCGATGAAAACGATACTCTGTTCCAGAGTACAATCCTGCACTAGCTTACGTGTAGACCGAATTTCTACCCCATGAATTTTTATCCAGCATCAATAATTCCGGAATTCAACCCTGACCCTGTTCAAGAGAAAATTCGTTGAAATCGATACCCTGTTCCAGAGTAAAATCGCTAAAATCGATACCCAGTTCCAGAGTGAAATCGCTGAAAACGATACCCTAGCTGGCGGCACGTCCCCGTATAGTGAATATAGGGGAGTACCCCCCTTCCCGGGCATTTTCCTCTATCTACTATAGGGACTGACAATAAAAAGATATATATAAACAACGATCGAAGAGAATAAATTCAGCACCATAGATTTCAAAGCACCACCAGCCTACAGCCTTCCTATGGAATCTCCTCTTTTGTCTCAATCATTAAGGTTTATTGTTTGTATTTATATTACTGCGATTCGTTGTATTTTCGTTTAWTATACGGAGTGTCTGCTTATCGTTGTATTTAACTTGTCTTATTTAGTTTTCCTAATTGAATCTCTCTATAAGAACATCAGTTGTAAAACGTCATTATGGTATAATCTTACAGTATAGTTTCTCATCCAAGTCGCCGCTCTTGAACCAGAATTGCCGARCGCAAATTCCAAATTGATGTTAAAATAGGTTCATCTCACTGGTTAAGTGCCTGCATACTTCTACGAGTGAACGATGTAACCAATCTCCCCAAAGTAGTAAAATTCAGGGGTGGATCCAGGACTTTGATCACATATAATTTAATCTAATTTGAATTTCAAGATCAAAACTAAACATTCAACTGATCAACACTGATTTTTTAATTGAATTTCAAGATCAAAACTAAATTAAACATTCAACTGATCAAAAAGGGGGGGTGACTAATCATCCCTGTCACCAACCCTAAATCCTAAATCCCTGGTGCGGTGCATATCTAGCTGATTTAAACTACTGTTCATATTCATTGCCAATTTTTCTTGAGATCACATTTTGAAATGATATCTGTACGTCGTAGTGTCAGTTTTCAGGRCAACCGTAGATCTCAGCTCTCATGGCAATCCTGCCGGGGAACGTAACTGCAACAATTCGAATATAGCGACAACTTATTGCCACTGGAAGAGTATTCGTCACAATAGTGTCAGTGTCAGTGTTCCCAGAGAAGACCTGTAGAAAATAAATTTTTACTCGATCGATCAAAAGACAAATTCACTCAGTTATAGTGGTTTTACTAACCTTGAGTGTTCCGCCAACCTTATAATCAGTGAAAGACTCGTTATTAAGAGCATAAGAGAGACTATATGAGGAAACCCTGCTCGTCGGTACGCCTGGTCTCCCTTGAGTCGCTACCATGGTAACTCGGTAAACATTAACAAGGTCCACTTGCAGATATTCTCCTGCCACATTGTTTTTAACTTCCCAGCAACCKWTACCACCAGAATTRTACGGCGTTTTGTTTTGCGTCCTTAGTCGTCCTCGCCATGGCTCGTGGCCGACATYCCAGAAAGAGGAGGCAGAGATCCTGTTGTTTGGAATGGTTCCTGATTCAAAACCAAGAGGAGTATTGCAGGCTACAAAGGACACAATGAAAACGKTGTTCAAGAGGAACGTTAGTAAAATCAGTCATGTCGGATTGCAAGGGAATACAATGAAATTCAGAAAAAGAATCTCAGACAATTATTGCGAAATTGTTGTGTTTGACGGCCGTTTTATGTCATACAATTGTGTTTTGAACATGRCYCCCACGCCCTGTGTCCACTTCCGGAMGCAACTGTCACGGGCATTGCCGTTTTTTTAGGATTTGTCGATGTTTTTTTTTTGAGGATAGGCGGAATTCAAGGCACTCAATTCCCGAGATGAATAAAAAGAACTGAAGGAGCTATTGTTCTAGCATTTTTCGATATTTAACTCTATCATATTAGCACAATAGGCCTTTGTACTTTATAGCTATTAATATTCTAGTTTGTCTGAACTTTGCCAGTCCTCAGTAATGATGCTGTAGAACAGCGAAGGCTTGACTATAAATAAAGATGTATTTACCACCTTAACCCTATTCAGACTGGGCTTTTTCTTTCAATCTGTGACTGGGGGGGGGGGGGGGGGTTGCTCATTCGGCCCCCCCTCAATATCTTCGGAACCAATACCTCTATGAGCATGAAATTTTCACAGAATGGTCGCCCACGTAAAACGAACCACCACACCCAGTCTTGACCCGTGGGAACCAAATGTGACGTCAHARTGACGTCATTTTYAYMATTTYAACGAKTTATAATTCATTTTAATAAATTGCCTACAATTCCATAGAGAATGCTGCAATATCATCTGTTTATTATTGAAATGACTTGAAAATAATATTTTTGTATTTTTTTAATTGATCCCTGTTCTATATGACGTCACAATGACGTCATAGATATCAGGTAATTTTTATAAATTATATATCTATATCTAGATAGCCAGTTAAATATCATATTTATGCGTTACTGCTCTCCTATGATGTTGTGGTTCGTTTTGTATCCATGGTAACAGTTGTGACGTCATAATTGTAATGACGTCATTTCCTATATTGTCTTTGTCGTCTATGAATAATTTGACTCCAAATCTCACTTTTTTT